CGGGCGCGCAGCGGCGAGACGGGCTACGTGCCGCCTGCCTACCTGCACCGTCTGCAGGTGAGTGTGTCGGGCTGCGACCACCGCCCCGAGCACCGACCCGGGATCCTTTGGCCCTGGAGGCCTATCCCCAGCACCCAAGGACTTTGAGTACCTGACTCCGAGACCCAAGGACTGTAGGCACTGAGACCCCAGGGTCGAGCAACCCCTACAAAAGACCAGGCCCTGACATTCATTACTAGAGCTACAAAAGCTTAACTCTGGGACTGTGACCCCTTGGGACGTCAGACACCTTGGTATAGGAACCTGTATCTGAATAGATTCTAGAGTTAGACCCAAAGACTCCAGTTACCAAGTCCCCAATACCTCAATCCTTAATATTCCTGGATCACTAGAATTCCACACTCCCCACCACCACCACTGTGGAGCGACTCTTTACCGCTGAGGCCCCCAATATTGAGAAGAGGCCACTTTAGACACCACTTCCCTAAACACCTCCAGGTTCTCAACACTTCTCACCCTTGGACCCTGGACCCTTAAATGTCCTCATCTTGGTGACCCCTAAACCCTGAGATCTCAGTGTCTTTGACTGTCCTGTGCTCAGCCACTCCCTAACCTCTTAGCAGGAACCTCTGAACCAAGGTCTCCATCCCCCGCTGACCCTCCCTAAACTGTCTCTTCTGTTCTCCCCATGTGTCAAGCCCTGAGTTTGCAGGCTTCTTTCCTATGAAATCGAGAGACTCCTTTGACCCTAGCCTGGCGTGTGTCCTCTTGAGGATTCCCCTAGTCTGATGATGGCCCCATTTCCTTCCACTGGAGGTTGCAGTCCCAGTTCCTATTTCCCCAAGAGCAGCCCTGTTACAGGGGCTGGGGTCACCATTTCTATGTCTCCAATTGGTCTCTTCTGACCACAGGGTTCAGAGGTGTTCTCTACCAGGCACTCCTGCCCAGTCCTAGTCTCTAACTTTAGAAAACATTCTGACCTAGACGGGTTCATGATAGAAATAGCAAGATAATCTGCTTTTTGCCAGAGGGGATGGACCCTCAGCCCCAGCCCATCTAGAAGCTCCTGGGGTTGGGCTGCTAGGTCTGGAGTGAGGAGCCCTTGGGGTGGGGGAAGGACCTCACTGGTCCTACCTCTTCCCCTACTGAGCATAGGCCAGAGGCAGGACCAGTGAGGCTGGGTGTTTGGGGACGGCAGAGAGGCTGCCATCTTTTCTGTCACTGTGTTTGGCTTTTTTCTGCGCGCTCCTGTGTCTTGGTTTCTCGTGCATCTCTGTCCCTCTCATTCTGACTCTCCACTTGGGTGTTTTCCTTTCTGACTACCACTCTGTCTCTGGCAATGTCATTCTTCTTTGTCTCCCTCTGCCTGCCTCCAGGTCCCTTCCTCCAGATCTGTCTTATTCCCTTTCTGCCCCCTTTTCATCTCTTGTCTCCCTGCATGGTAGTACACCCCATGCTACCTGAAGGGCTTTGCAGACTCTGCATCCATCTGCCTGGCCCCATTAGGGAAGCTTCTCAAACCAGTCTGAAGTGAGTTCCCTCAGCTCTGAGGCTCCTTGTATCTGATTGAACATGGGTGCTGGGGTTGAGGGAGGGCAGGGTGACTGGTCCCCTGAGTTGCTGAGAATGAGACTTGAACCTGGAGCCTTGAATCTCTTGTGTCCTCCCTTTACAGCAGACATAGAGCTACTTCCCAGGGCAGATCTGAAAGTGACTGGAACATCTTGGGAAGACGAATTCTGACAGCAGGGATGGGGAGGGGAGGTCCCCTTGGCTTATTATCAGCACCTAGAGCCTTCACAGGGCTCTGCAGGGACTGGGCTGTTCTGCGGTGTGACCTTGGTGTTGTGAAGGATCAGCAGGATCCAGAGTGACTGATTAAGGATTCCAGACACTGGAGGCTGTTTGGCATCTCAGCCTGGGCTCTGAACCAAGCCCAGTGATGGAATAGGTATGCAGTCCTGGCTATAGACTGAGGCTCGCTGGGCTAAGGGTTTACTCTGGACCCCAGGTCTCTAGAAGCATCTGAGCCAAGAATTTTATATGGGATGAAGTCCTGACTGAGGCCCTGTGTGTAAAACGGCATTCTGGGGCCACCTGGTGTCCCTGCTTCCTGAGGGATGCTGTTTGAAACCCCATTCAATGAATCTCTGTTTAGCTTCAACCTAGGCTGGGTCGGGGCTGAGCACCCCTGCCTGGGTCCAGGTCTGACTGGTCACCTCTTGCAGGGTCTAGAGCAGGATGTCCTCCAGGCCATTGATCGGGCCATCGAGGCTGTGCATAACACAGCCATGCGGGATGGTGGCAAGTACAGCCTGGAGCAGCGTGGAGTCCTCCAGTGAGTGCTGGGGAGGTGGGTGGCTTCTCTAGGGAGCATTAGAGATGTGCAGGATGGGTTTGGGGTAGCATGGGGACCACAGTGGTAGAGCATGGGGAGATGGTGTGTGAGGGCTAGGCCTGTGAGGTCCCAGTCTCCCATAAGGCACCTGTGAGGACTGTGGGTATGTACAGTGCTCTTTGCCATAGTCTTTCTGTTTCCCATAAGGAAGCTGATCCACCATCGGAAAGAGACCCTGTCTCGTAAAGGTCCCTCAATCTCCAGTGCTGCAGTTATGACCGCATCCACCAGTGATCATCATTTGGATGCTTCTGCCGCTAGGCAGCCCAATGGGATGTGTCGAACCGGGTTTGAAAGGCAGTACAGCTTGCCCATTTCTGAGCATCTTACGGCAGATGGATCCCTCTACCAGGTATGTGGTGAGGGCATCCTAGAGAAGGAGGTGGATGGAGCTTAAGGCTTCATCCTGAGGCTCAAGAGTCTACTTGGATCAGTGATATAACCAGAGCCATAGCCCTGCCTGCATCCAGAGCTTGGAGCACCAGACAGCAGCCTGTCCCCTCAGATCCCATTTCTGTCCTTGCAGATCCCACCCCAGCCTCGCCGAGCCGCACCTGCTACACCACCCCCACCGGTGAAACACCGAGATCACGAGGCCCTGGTGGTCTCAGGGAATGGTGAGAGGCAGGGTGGGGGAATTGGGGTGGGGTACCCTGGGCTTGGAATGGCTACTCTGCCCATGTCAGGCAGATGGGGGTTATAGGCTTGGGAAGAAGATAGGGCCTCTGTTTTGGGCATTTGGGCAGTTGGTCTTGATAGGGACACAGGGCCTAACTAAGGCACTGGGACCTGTGTTGAGTGATGGGGCTCTGGGGTAGGATGGACGAGGGCCCCAGGGGGCAGCCTTAGTGCAGCATCTGTCCTTTGCTCACAGGTGGCCGCACCACCACACCCTCCGGGTGTAGTTCAGTGTCCAGTGGCTCTTCGGTCAACAGCACTTCTCTGGATACGCTCTATACCAGATCCAGCCCCTCTGAGCTGGGCCTTGGCTGCTCACCCACGCCCCCACCAGTGCCTCGCAGAGGCACCCACACAGTGTCCCAAGCCCTGCCCTTTCCCTCCAAGGCATCAGCCAGTGAGTCCCCTACAGAGGAGGTGGTGGTTCATACAACTTCAGCCCCTGATGACTTGGAGTCCCTGGGTGCACTGAGCCTGGGGACCACAGAGGAGAAGGCAGTGGCTGAGACAACTGTGCCAAGGACCATTGGGGCAGAGCTGATGGAGCTTGTGCGGAGAAACACCGGCCTGAGCCACGAATTATGCCGTGTGGCCATTGGAGTCGTGGTGGGTCACATCCAGGCCTCTGTGCCAGCCAGCTCACCTGTCATGGAGCAGGTCCTCCTCTCGCTGGTAGAGGGCAAGGTGAGGGGGGAGCATGTCCAGGAGCCTCCCCTCAGGCCATCCTGCTAACCCCACCCCCATCCTACGCACATACATGTGTCCAGCCTGTATGTGACAGGTATTTCTCAACTGCAGCTCTAGGCTTTCATTAGGCTGGGTGCTGGGGATGTTTGAAGTGATGCAGGAAGAAGAAAGCGAGGAAGAGCATCTGATGCAGAGGCTCAGCCTGGCCTAGGGCCATGACCCAGGGCTGAGTGTGGCTTGCTGGGGAAGGGGAAGGAGGCGTTGTGGCTGGCATATAGGTGGAGAGAGCAGGTGTGAGAGAAGCAGAGACCTGGAGTAGGTGGCAGTGAGCCCAGAGAAGTCCTCTCTGGCCACAGGAGGAAATGGACTTGGCTGGGTATGAGCCAGTGCCTTGCTGGCCTTAGCGGTGGTAAGAATGTAGGCTTGGAAAACGAATGGAGATCTGTCTGCTGCCCAAATGAGAGGGCATAAGGCATGTGGGTACTGTGGGATTCGTGCAGGGTGCTGGCCAGGAGCAGAATCAAAGGCAGTGAGCCCATACCATGTAATGAGAGCTGGCTGGGCCCAGGGTCCCTCTGTAGGGCTCCTCCTGCAGGTCTAGCTTGGGTGGTGGGGCAGTGGCCAAGAGCATGCTGTGCTGGGCACAGCAGCCAGTGCCTCATCAGCAGGTTTGAGGAGAATGTGCAAGGTGGGAGATGATGGGCCTGCTGCCACTGGTGGTAGATGGGACTGTGGAGTCTCGATCACATTCAGGAAGTGATGGAGTCCATGCCCTTCTCATGAAGGTGTTTATCTGGGTGCAGTGATAGGCAGGTTGTTGAGAAACCTCCCACCTAATGTAGAATCCTATCCCGGGAGGTCATCAAGAGTAGAGTCAGACCCCTGCCCAGTGTGGGTCACACAGGACTTGAGCTTATAATGTAGGCCCAATGCAGTGATCCAGGCCTTGAGGGCTTCCTGGAGATGGTGTGCTGAGCCATGCTTTGCCCTTTCTCCCCAGGACATGAGCACAGCCCTGCCCTCTGGGCAGGTCTGCCATGACCAGCAGAGGCTGGAGGTGATTTTTGCGGACCTGGCTCGGAGGAAGGATGATGCCCAGCAGCGGAGCTGGGCCCTGTATGAGGATGAGGGCGTCATTCGATGCTATCTGGAGGAGCTGCTGCATATTCTGGTGCGGGGTGGGGGCCACACACATCCCCAGCATGTGAGCAGTGCACTGCCCCACCCCACACCTTCTTCATCCTTAGGAGTCTTCCCTGCACACACATGCTCTTACTTCACTGTGGCCACATAGCCAGCTCACTGGGTGACGCACACTTCCTCCTTCCTACAGACTGATGCTGACCCTGAAGTTTGCAAGAAAATGTGCAAGAGGAATGAGTTCGAGTCTGTCCTAGCCTTGGTGGCCTATTACCAAATGGTGTGTACCAGACGGAGGGGAGGGGTACATGGAGGTATGCAGGTAGATGTGGAGGTTCCAGAAATTCAGCACACGGGGTCCTCTTCCAGGAACACCGAGTATCACTGAGGCTGCTGCTCCTCAAGTGCTTTGGGGCCATGTGTGGCCTTGATGCAGCTATCATCTCCACGCTCGTGTCTTCTGTGCTGCCCGTGGAGCTGGCTCGGGACATGCAGACAGACACGCAAGGTAAGGTGGGTGGGAAAGTGTCCTGCCATCGGGAGGGATACCCCCATCTGCAGGGGTTCCTGCTGTCTTCAGGACTCTTGACTGCCTCTCTCCCCACCCCAGACCACCAGAAGCTCTGTTACTCTGCGCTCATCCTGGCTATGGTGTTCTCCATGGGGGAGGCAGTGCCCTACGCACACTATGGTAAGAATGCAGATTGCTGGCTTGTTGACTGCAGGCCACAGAGGTGGTATAGCGGATCACCAAGGCTCACAGGAAGCCTAGGAATCTGAATGGCATAGGGGGAGGGACGAGACTGTAGCCTTGGCATGTGCCCTCTTCTAGAACACCTGGGTACACCCTTTGCTCAGTTCCTGCTGAGCATCGTTGAGGATGGGCTGCCCCTGGACACCACAGAGCAGCTGCCTGATCTCTGCATGAACCTGCTTCTAGCTCTCAACCTGCACCTGCCAGGTGAGGATAGGACCTGACTGGGAGGGGCTGAGAAGATGCTTTGCAGGCTGTGTTTTGTTGTGTCTACACCCTGTCCTTCCTCAGCACCTGACCAGAATGTCATCATGGCTGCCCTGAGCAAACACTCCAATATCAAAATCTTCTCTGAAAAGCTGCTGCTGCTTCTCAACAGAGGAGGTGAGGGCCCCTGAATATATATGGGTACCACTTGCATCTCCTGTGCTTCCATATTTCCCTCTGGGGTCACTCTGGGACCCAAGCAAAGGCTACACTAACCCCATGATCCCTGCATTTTAGATGACCCTGTGCGTATCTTCAAACATGAACCACAGCCACCACACTCGGTTCTCAAATTCCTGCAGGATGTTTTCAGCAGCTCTGCCACAGCTGCCATCTTCTACCACACAGATATGATGGCGCTAATTGACATCACTGTACGGCACATTGCGGACCTCTCACCCGGAGACAAGGTGCTTGGAGGTTGCCATATGGGGCTGGAAGCTGAGTGGAAACTGAACCCTTTGCGGGGAGAGGGGGTGAAGTGTGACACTGGACATGAAACATGAGGGGATAGGGCTGCAGAGAGGTGTGGGTGGGAGGCCACCTGGAAAACAGGACAGGTATGAGGAAGGAGGCAGCTATGAGGCTATCTAGATGGGGTGTCTGGGGAAAGGCTCAGCTGAGAGCATGGGAGTTGAAGACAGTACATAGGTTACACACAGCACCTTATGGGGGGCAGCAGCCTGGGGGATCTCAGAGGAAGGCGAAGTGATCTAATGACACCCCTCATGGGAACTGGGTGCCTGCGGAGTGCAGACAGACCATTGCGGTGAGAAAAGAGGTTGGGTTTGGTTGTGCTGGATGGAATCCAGCGGGATTTGTCTTAAGCCACTAAGCAGGTGAAGTCTGACAACGGGTGTGGGGAGAGCTGAGGGGAGAATTCTTGGGAGGAAAACAGAATTGTGCATTGATAATGTCAAGGTGGGGGTGACGCCTGGTAGACATTGGGCACTAAGAGCATGAGGGAAGCGGAGGGGAGCAAGTCAGGACTAGAGAGCCACTTCCGGGCTGTCTGTGCAGCAGTGTGATTGGAAGCCATGCCAGTGTGATCACTGAGGAAATGGGACTGAAGGGCAGGGTCAGCAGGGAGCCTGCCCTCTCCTGGGCACTGCAGGGGCATGAACAGAGGAGCCGAGGGAGGAAACCAGGCAGGCAAGGGCCCAGAATGATGTTCAGGAGGAGGGAGGTCAGGAGCTTCATCTGGGAACTGAGAATTGGCCATCAGGCTTGCCGTACAGCTATCAGCAGTGACTGACAAGTGAGGTTAGAGGAGTGGAGGACACAAACAGAAATTTGGAAGGGAATTTGAAGTTACTGAGGAGTGGGAATAAGGGAGGCTGGAAGCAGTAAACAGAGGCAGCTCTTGTAAATTTTCTGGGAAAGGGAGTAAGTAGAAAGAGATGGGGGCTGGAGGGAGACAGGGGGGTCAGGGACAGTGTCTTGTGCCTGTCCTGACCATGAGCCAATGGTCACGTCACACTGGTCACATGAGCGCATGGCATGTTGGGAGTGGGGACCTCTTCAATTCATTCTGCTGGGGACAGGTGAGTTGTGGGTGCTGAGAGCAAAAGATGGGGTTTCTGAAAGATTGCTTCTGTGTTTTCCATGAAGCACAAGGCCAACTGGCCAGGCAATTTAGGTATGGAAGACAGAGAAGGTGGGCGATGCTGGTAGAATGAGGTAGACAACAGCATGAGTGGAGTCCCTACAGAGCCACATGGCCGTCTGAGAGTTCATGAGTGAAGGTTAAGGGCTGCACACTGGCTCTGGCCTTGTTGATTGCCTAGGCATAGCATTAGGGGATGCTGCTGATGGGAGATTCTGGTACTGGTTCCTCTATCCAGAGGTAAAGAGAGGAACAAGGGATGTTGGAGGCTGAGAGAACAAGTGCTGCTGTCAGGCCAGTAGGTTGAGAGTCTTAGGGTGTCACATCTTGGGGCCTGTTGGAATTGCTTGCACTAGAGGTGCTGGGAACAGAAGTTGGGAGAGAGGGTGTTGGAGATGGGATAAGGGACTAGGATAAGATGGCCAGGTCTTGGAGGTCAATCAGATATAGGATATTCAGGAGAGAGGAATTGAAGAGGGCACCTATATTTCAAACCTGTGCTCCTCCCCCGCAGACAAGGTCTTTCTATGTGGTTCAGGCTGGCCTGGAAGTCATAGCAATCTTCCTGCCTCAGCCTCCTGAGTGCAGGGATTATAGGCATGTACCGCCACACCCGGTTTTGGCCTGTGCTATTTGCCAACGGCAGTGCTCTTTCATGAGATAGAGAACATGAGAAAACCTTCAGTTTGGGGAAGAGGGGGAAGATTGAGTTTGATGGTAGCTGTGTGGGTTTGAGCTCTCTGAGATATGCAGACAAAATAAACAGGCAATTGGATATTCTTGCCTGGAGCTCACAGGACAGATCTAGAAGTATGAGGCCAGGTGACTGTTTGAAACTGTGGGTATTTATAAGCTCTTTCAGGGTGAGAGAGAGGCAAGGGTAGAAGCAGAAGGCCTCCAAATGACAGATGTGGCACATCAAGTCCTGAAGGACTGGCAGGACTTCCAGGGTAGGCCCCATTCTGGGACTCCCTGGGGCTGGGAAGATTCATTCATTCACTTATACAGCAACTGTTGAAGGCCAGTTCTGTACCAGGTATATTCTGGGTGGTGGGGACGTAGCCCTGATGTTCACATGGTACGAGCTCTTCCTTGCCCTGGGTCCTTGGAAGATAATGGGTAGTTCAAGTCTGGTGGCAGTTGCAGTATCTCCCAGGAGTCCTTGAGCAATCCTCTTCCTGCAGCTGCGCATGGAATACCTTTCTCTGATGCACGCCGTGGTCCGCTCCACACCCTACTTGCAGCACCGCCATCGGCTATCGGACCTGCAGGCTACATTGCGGCGCATCCTGACTGAGGAGGAGACCTCACCCCAGTGCCAGATGGACCGCATGATTGTCCAAGAGATGTGCAAGGAATTCCCAGTGCTTGGGGAGGCCCCCAGCTAACACCTCTCCCCTTCCCTGCAGCTCTGTGAAGGGTGCAGGGGACTTGGGGGCTTCACCCTAAGAATGTTTTGAGGGGCTAAGTGGATAGAAGTGCCCTGATTGGGGCCCCCACCTCAAGTAGATCCAATTAAAGAGATTAAGTGTAGGATTGGGGACCACAGTCTGGGAGATCCATGGGGGCAGAAGGAATGTACAGGTGGAAGCCCCTCTGTCCCTGGTAGCCTGCCTCTTCAGCATGCCTCGCCTCTGCCTCATACCCACCTGCATTCTCAAGAGTCCTGCTGCTGTTCCATGCTGGGCCAAAGCCCCATCCCTGCGCGCCTGGCCTGTGTCTGGGCCTCTGCAAGCCATGCCCTTAGGGTGAGGGGAGGTGCCACTCACCAGCTCTGCTCTTTGCCTTAGCTTTGCAGTGAGTGCTGCTCATGTGCTCTCTCAAACCCCATGGGGGTCAGTTGCCCCTTGCTTTTAACCCAGGAGGCCTTGGCCAAGCTGCTGCTGTGAAAGTGGAAGATATCCAAGAATATCCAGTCTTTGAGACACCATCCATTCCGGCGCTTCATAGAACGGGATGGTAACATTGAAAGTCAACAACAGAATCTATTTTATCTAAAAATGTAAACTGAAAAGTCGTGTATTTTCCCATGTGCTGCAGCTCAACTTTGGAAATAAATCAGTGGCATCTGGAATCAGACTTCCCTGTATGACCCTGGTGGTGGCGGGGGAAGAGGGTCTCAGGACCCTGTCATCTGGCTTTTACCAATTCTGTAGCCTGAAGAGGTGACAGACTGGATGGCCTGTTCCAGCCTCTGTTTCTTGAGCTGCCCTTCTGGTCCCAGTTTTTTGCTTTTTTCCCTGGTACCAGGGATTGAACTCAGGACCTTGTGCTTGCAAGGCAGGCACAGTGCCACTGAGCTAAATCCCCAGTCCTGGGTCCCAGTTTTGCAGGTGGCTATACCTCCAGCCACTCTTCTGTGAAAGCCACCCCTTTCTTCCCTGTTGAACTTTCTTCTCCTGCGTATTCTCAAATGAAACAAGCCTTCTCCCAGCTGTGGTCTCCCTGAATATGTGGGCCGTGTCCAGCTTTGCTTCCTTTATCACTAAGTCCAATGCAATCATTTTGTAACCTAGAAATGTGGTCATTTTTTGAAGGTGAAAGAGTCTGTGTATATGTATATTTTCTTTCTTGCTCGCTTTTTAAAACTTTTAAAATTTTTATGTTATCCCATTTTCTCCCATCCCTACGTGCAAAGCTTTGTTTCCATTTTTCCTTTTTTTTCTTGTACCTTCCTTTCTCCCACCCTCCTCCCTTATTCCCGTTCTCATTCGAACACTTTCTTCCCATTTCCCAACACCCATTATACATTGCAGTCCTCCTTTCTTTCCTCTTTCAGTTTCTCACGTCGGAGAAACAATGCAGTATTTAAATATGTGTCTGATTTATTTCACTTAAGAGCATGGTCTCAAGATCCATCCATTTAGCTATAAAATGTCTGAAGCTCATCTTTCTGGCAGAGTAGAACTCTACATCTTATCTACTCATCAGTTGATGGGCATTTGGGCTGTTCAAGATGTAGCTATTACAAACTGCTACTATAAACATGGGTGTGCATATGTCGCTGTGGTAAGATGCTTTTAATTCTTTCAAGAAGATAACAAGAAGAGGTGTAGCTGGGTCAGTGGAACCTCTAGTTTTAGTTTTTAAGAAATCTCCACACTGATTTCCACAGTGGTTGTACCAGTCTGCATGCCCACTAGCAGTGGAGAGGGGTTTCTTTTTCCCCACATCTCCTCCACCATTTGTTATTGGTTGATTTCTTGACAGCGGCTCTTTTGTGTTTTGAGACAGGTTCTCACTAAGTAGTTCAGGTTGGTTCTGAACTCATTTGGTAGCCTAGGCTGGCCTCAAACTTGCCAATCCCTCTGCCTCAGCATTCTGAGTGCTGGGAATACAGGACACCACCATCACACTCAGCTTTGGAAGAGAATGGTAAGGGTGTAATTAGCTTTGCAGTCCTATTTCAGAGTGACCAGAAGCCAGTTTGATAAAACTTCATTCTCTTCGTGGGCTCCCAGATTAGCAAAGAGGCTGTACTAGAAAGTGACAAATACCAGGATCCACCCTAGGTGGACAGTGGTCCACAGTGGGGAATCAGTGCTCTTCACTCCTCAACACCTGCTCATCAGGGCTGTGACTTCTGTCACAATTTTTCCCCTTTCACTGGGTGCTGAAGGGAGGGAGGTACTCTATCCCAGCAAGAGTCTCAGAACAGGCAGCAGAGGAGGTGCATGTTGGAGCCCCAGCAAGCAGGTATTAAGCAATGGCAGAACCGTTTGCTAGGGAACCCTCTGGAGCGAAGTGCAGAGACCTGTGGGCGATGACCCTCTGTAGCCACAGGCTGTGTGGGATACTGAGAGCACAGGCCCTGGGGGCACAGCCAGATTGCTCCTCATCCTGGAGATAGTCTGCAGTCCATTGCTATGCAGCCTTCAGTCACAACTCCTTTGTCACTGGGGTACTGAAGTCAGGCAACCATTACCACACGAGAGGGCAATTCAGTGAAAAGCACAGGTACTTGTGAAGCTGAGGCAGGCTTGTCTAGCACCAACCATGATTTTCTGTTTTCCCTGTCATAATACACACCAACCTGGTGGGAAGAGCAGAGCTGTGCTTTGGTATCTTTTCAAGTATTGGCACCGAGGATAAACAGTGTGTGTCCACTTCTGCAGGGTTGTCCAAGGGACCCTTGCGCAAGTGCGTAAGGGATACACAAGTTGTAGCTGAGAAAGTTATGTAAATGGTAGGTTTTTGTAATTGAACTTGCTCTGATAGGGTCAGGGTCAGGACTCCAAGGCCCCTCAGCAAACACACTGATGATGGTGTCACAGCACAAAATTAGAGCCACAGAGGAAAACTGATTAGAGAATTCCTCTGATTAGAGAATGAACTGCCATTGAGACATACCTGGGACTATATGAAAGGTTGTAAATGAGGGTAAGGAAGATAAAGGGTATAAGAGCACAAGCCACTCAGAGAGGGTTTCTGGGTCAAATCCAGAAGAAACTCAAGCTTGGTGGGGAAGGGGGCTGGGGCTGGTTTCTATGTCAGCAGTGCCTGCAAATAGGTATCTAAAGGTGGGATGTGCAGAGGGCCACAGCTGCACTTGCACAAGAAAACCCCAGAGTGAGCAATAGAGAAGAGAGCATGTGCTGGCCCAAGATAGTGTCAGTGCCCAAGATACAGACTGAGGCTCTGAAGTGAAGACTTTTTTTTTTTGGTACCGGTGATCCAACTTGGGTCCTTGTGCTTGTAAGGCAGGTGGTGGAACCACTGAGCTAAATCCCTAGCCCAAGACTTTCTTTTTAATGGAAGAATAACATACTGTGAAAAATACAGTGTTCAAAGACTACTGTGGCCATGAAAATGCTAATATAAACACACCCCAGGCAAAGAAACAGAGTATCACCTGTCCTCAAGTCAATCGCTCGATCTCTGGTTCCTTCCTCTTCCCCAGAGGGAAACCACAGATAAATTTTGCCATGGAATCTGCATATGTCTGGCTTGCCACACACTACTAAATGTTTGAGATTCCTATGTCATAGTACGTGACTGCAGTTTGTTCATTCTCAATGCCACACAGGCAGTACACTCATCCATCCATTGTATCCAACAGTAGCATTGTTACACATATCTTCTTGCTCGAATGCTTTGTTTTGGGGGTATGTTCCCAAGACTAGAATTGTTTGCTTGCTGGCAGATACTGCCAAATAGTGTTGGTTGCAGAGTACTATACCTCTACCAATGCTCCTTCAGTAGGGTCTGAGAATTCCACCTCCTTTAGTCTTCCTCAAAACATCACATGAGGGCTGGGGATTTAGCTCAGTGGTTCTGCCACCTGCCTCGAAAGTGCAAGGACCTGAGTTCAATCCCTGGTACCAAAACAAAACCCAAAAACCTAAAACTTGGTATGGCTGAGGTGTTCCCCTGGGGTAGAACACTCATTTTTCTATGCACAAGGCCCCAGGCTAAATCTGCAACCTGCACTACAACACACACGTATACATACACATGCACTCCAGAACCTGCTGTCATTTTTACTTTAGCTTTTCTACTAGAATGGCATGTGTTCTTAAATTTGCATTTCCCTGATGACTAAAGAGGCTGAGAACATTTTCATTAGTATACTGGCAATTTGGATATTTTCTTTGTTAATACACTTACTCAAATCTGTTGTTCATATATCCTTTGATTTGTCTTTTATCAATATGTTTGGGATATGAGTCCCTAAGGCTTTCACTGTTGTTTGCAGTACTGGTAATTAAATCCAGAAGCTCACACTGACCTCACACCCCACCACCTTTAAAAATTTCTAGACAGGGTCTCCCATAATTACCCAGGCTTGGTGTGAAATTGTGAGCCTTCTGCTTCAGCTTCTCAAGTAGCTGGAATTACACATGTCACGCAGCACCCAACTGAATCCTTAGGTTTTATATTTTCTAATATCTTCTCCTACTCTGTGCTAGGGAGTGAACCTATGATCTTCACACTGAGCTATATCCCCAGAAAACACCCTCTCCATCCCCAGTTTTTGTTTTTTTTTTTAAGACAGGTTGTTAAGTCACTAAGTTGCTCAGGCTGGGTTTAAGTTTCTGATCCTCAGGGCTGGGGATTTAGCTCAGTGGTGCCACGCCTGCTCCGCAAGTGTAGGGTCCTGAGTTCAATTCCCAGTACTGGAAAAAATAAAAAAGCAAGTTAAAAAATTTTCTGATCCTCCTGCCTCTGCCTCCTAGAGTGCTAGTATTACAGGGCTGCATCACTACTCCTGGGTGTGGTTCCCATTCTTCCCCTCTCTCTACCTCAGTTCAGAGGATTGAACCCAAAGCCTTTGCACTGAGCTACATTCACACTTTTTTATTTTTTATTTTCATAAAGTCTTGCTAATTTGTTAAATTGCTCAAGCTGTACTCCAACTTGTGATCTTTCCCTCTCAGCCAACCAGAGT